ACTTTCACTGATGACAACAAAGAAATGAGCGAGTTACTGAGGAAGCAGTACGACTCTGTTTTCAGCTAGCCATTAAACACACTAAAGATTGATAACCCAAATGAATTTTTCATGGATATGATACCAACATCAAATCATATATCAGACGTCGCCCTATCCCCACTGGATTTTGAAGAAGCCATAAACAGTATGCCTATGCACTCTGCACCAGGCCCGGATTCTTGGAACTCCATATTCATCAAGAACTGTAAAAAACACTATCGCAGGCCCTTCACATTCTGTGGAGACAAAGCCTAGATACTGGCGTTATCCCTGACATACTAAAAACGGCAGAGATAGCACCACTCCATAAAGGAGGAAATAAGGCACGGGCAAAAAATTACAGACCTTACAAAAAGGTCTGTAAAAAAAGACAAAAATTACAAAAAATAGGCAGATGGATCTACAATTTCCTGACTAACAGAACCCAATGTGTAATAGTCAACAAAATAAAATCCAGCCCATCAACCGTGAAGAGCTCAGTCCCCCAGGGTACTGTGCTTGCTCCAGTACTTTTTCTCATCCTCATATCGGACATAGACAAGAACACAACCTATAGCACTGTATCATCCTTTGCAGATGACACTAGGATCTTCATGAGAGTAGGCAACATAGAGGACACGGCAAACCGTCAATCAGATGTAGATCAGGTCTTTCTATGGGCTACAGGAAATAATATGGTGTTTAACGAAGATAATTTCCAGCTCATGCGCTACGGAAAAAATGAAAATATAAAAACGGAAACCACGTACAAAACTCAGGCAAATCATAACATAGAACGAAAAGGCAATGTAAAGGATTTGGGTGTACTCATGTCGGAAGACCTTACCTTTAAAGAACACAATAAAGTAGCCGTCACAACTGCAAGAAAAATGACAGGTTGGATAACAAGAACTTTTCACACTAGAGATGCTATACCGATGATGATACTTTTCAAAACGCTTGTGCTCTCTAGAGTGGAGTACTGCTGCACAATGACAGCCCCTTTCAAAGCTGGAGAAATTGCTGACCTGGAGAGCGTGCAGAGATCCTTTACTGCTAGAATCCTCTCAGTAAAATATTTAAACTACTGGGACCGACTAAAGAGCCTAAATCTGTACTCTCTTGAGCGCAGGCGGGAGAGATACATAATAATCTAGGTTCCCAGGTGGCCGCCATATTAACCAAGCTCTTGCTGCACGCAACCATATATATAAACCATATATATAAACCATATATAAACCATATATAAACCATATATAAACCATATATAAACCATATATAAACGGAATCAAATCACACTATAGCAGGAAAAGAGTAGTGTAAAGGACCTAGGAGTAAACATGTGGGAAGACCTTACCTTTACAGAAGACCATAAAGTAGCCGTCACGACTGCAGGAAAAATGACAGGTTGGATAACAAGGACCTTCCAAACAAGGATGTCATACTAATGATGATACTTTAAAACATACTAGTGCTCTCTTGGGTGGAGTATTGGTGCACCCTATAAGCCCCATTCAGGGGCGGAGAAATTGGAGACCTTGAGAGCGTGAAAAGTTCTTTTAAGCCTAGAATCCACTCTATAAGTCATCGTAATTATTGGGACCAATTAAAAGTTCTTAATCTGTATTCTCTAGAGCGCTTTTATTATTAAAATATTCCAAATATTCATTTGGAATATTTGGAATATCCTGCAGCAACAAATTCACTAATCTCCGGAAGGCCGTAGTACACACATTCAGAACCTGTAACAGGTAACTCGAATCTTTGAATATTTAAGTCCTTTTAGTTTATTTCTATGAACCTTCTTGGTCTCTGACATATTTAATATTCTTCACCAGAGTTATGATAGTATAATTATTTTGTCTTCTTTCTCCCAGGTGAGTGTGGGTGTTGAAGCGGCGGCGGTGGTGACGAGTTGGTGGGCTGTCTTCCTCGTCCTCACGGGGCACGCGCACACGTGCCTCCTCCCGGGGCACGCGCACACGTGCCTCCTCCCGAGACACGTGCCTCCTCCCGGGGCACGTGCCTCCTCCCGGGGCACGTGCCTCCTCCCGGGGCACGTGATAAATTTTTACATGTTGTTCATTCAAAATGGAAATTTTCTCAAATATAAATTAATATTATAATAGCATATTATGCATATTTGGGCATAGGTTAGGCGTTCAGGTTCTGTTGGCGATTATTTGTATTTGTAGTCCGTGGGTGAAGCATTTATAGCGCTGTGGTTCGAACAAAATTCGTCAGTGAAGCACTTGTTCCTGAAGCAGCCCGTCCTCCAAACAAAGACCCAAAAGTGATTCCATGCACCCGCCAAACCCCCTGTGTTTATGAATGAAAAAAGATTTACACACGACTCTCAACTGATGCCGTTCGAACATTACCGGAACAAGTGCTACACTGACGAATTTTGTTCGAACCTCAACGCTATAAATGCTTCATCCACAAATACAAATAATCGCCAACAGAACCTGAACACCTAGCCTATGCCCATATATGCACAATATGGTAATATATTATAACATTAATTTATATTTGAGAGAATTCCCGTTTTGAATGAACAGCATGTAAACATTTATGAATGTGTCTGTGGGGGTCGACCGCTGAATGGAATGGACTAGAGTCGAGGACGGGTTGTCCGGAAGTGCTCGAACGTCAACAGTTGTGAGTCGTGTAAACCATTTTTCATTCATAAACAGGGGGCTTGGCGGGGGCATGGAATCACTTTTGGGTCTTTGGAGGACTGACTGCAAACGGAATCTTACTGTAGCCTCAGTATTTCACTCATTTCTTTGTCGTCATCTGTGAAAGTTCCATCACCTTTGCTCAGGAGTCATGTTAGATGTAGGTTTAGTTGTACATTTTGCATAATAGAGAAAGTGTTTTGGATTACTCTTATTTCAGTGATTGTTTTTTGACATAAACAATTTTATATACCTTTACATCCATTTATATACCTTAATTGTCTTATTTGGGAGTTTAAATTCAGTTTTTTAAAGATAGTGACCAGGCTGATCATACGTCTGGCTGCCACGTCCAACAGCCTGGGTTGACAAGACGACCAACCTGGTCGGAAACAGGGCCGCAGCGATGTTGAACCTCGAAACCTTGACAAGGTTCAACATAAACGAGATAAAGTATCTAATACAGGATACATAAATAATACAACAAATATAACATCTAATATCTAATAAATAGATACATCTAATAAATGATGCTTAAACGAGATAAAGCATCTAAATTATTAGGATCGTCTCAAAGCTCTCCAAATGTACTCGCTAGAAAGGAGACGAGAGAGATATCAAATAATATACACCTGGAAGATACTGGAGGGCCAGGTCCCAAATCTACACAGTAAAATAACAACGTACTGGAGTGAACGATATGGAAGAAAATGCAGAACAGAACCAGTGAAGAGCAGAGGTGCCATAGGCACAATCAGGGAACATTGTATATACATCAGAGGTCCACGGTTGTTCAACATCCTCCCAGCGAGCATAAGAAATATTGCCGGAACAACCGTGGACATCTCAAGAGAAAACTGGATAGTTTTCTTCAAGAAGTGCCGGACCAACCGGGCTGTGGAGGCTGTGGATGTCCAGTGGCCCGCAGTGGGCCTCCGGGCCACAGCAAGCACTAAAGTTCTCCCGGAGCCACGGGACTGGCCGGTCAGGATGTGTTCCTCGCCCGGTTTAACACAGGCCTAGTCCTAAGATTTAGCCTTTAGCGTGCCTAATAGGTCAGCAGCAGCGGTACTAAGTGTGCGACACCCTGACTACCAACTGTTGTAGGTTGTGGATAGCTGGATTGTATAGAAATTCATGCAGACATTATTTGTGTGGTGGTATGTGGAGTTTACCTAGAGGAACAGTGGGACGACACTGGGCCGCCTTGTGGTGTACCTGGCCCCACGCTCCCCTCGTGTGTAAAATAGTCCTTGGGCCCTCCTTCCCAAGGTCGTGGTTTGTGTGCGCGACTGGTGGTGTGTTTACATGAGGTGGGTAACAGTGTCCTAGCCTGGGCGAGTGGTGGAGCCCCGGGCAGCTACCCTGTGCTGCGCCTCCTGGCGTCGGCGAGGAATATGTTGATGCTCGAAGTGGGTTGCAGTCACCCGATGACATGGAACTCGATGCTTATTTGGATAACGGAAATGAGTGGCAGGTGCAACGATCACGGTATGCGAGAAGAAATTCTAAACGTGCAGACTCTGCTGATGGCGAGGAGGTCATTGGCAATGATGACAGGAACACCGGAACCCGTGTGAAGACGGTGGAGGTGGGCGGTGGTGGGCCCACACAGCCAGGGGCCCGCCCACCCAAGCCTCCTATTGCTCCCCGCGCTGGCTATGTGCGCCTGGCATTCCCAGCTAGAACAACCACCAACAATAAACTGACATGGTTTGAACAACTTTCTAATAACTTCTCCAACACTCCTCGATATAGTCCGACCTAGACCAACATCCCCTTACATCTTTGTGTCACGTAAGCAAGAAGATATCATCACTCAACTGGTTGACGGTACGATTGGTAATATTGTTTTCACCAGAGAAGACATAATCAATTGCCCTAAAAAAATTAAGGAATATCTTGTTACCAGTTTTCCCAAAGAGTATCCTCTTGAGAGAGCTTATAACCTTGAAGGAGTCTACAAGGCAAGACGGATACATAAGGATGGTCAACCTCTCAACAGGATCATCATTTGACCCTCCCCCTGAACACTACACCTTCTTTGGACATTTCATCCCATCAAGTCCTGTCAGATCTTGGGAATCCCCCTCCCCCTTTTGTTTGTTATAAGTGCCACGGTACTCATCATATCTCTACGTACTGCCGACATGACCCTGTGTGTGGGCTCTGTGCTGAACAGCACGATACAAGGGAGTGTCCTCACAGGGACCCCCCCCCCCCCCCCTACCCTTGAGGATGGGGAGGAAGCCTCTCCTCCGGTCCGGAAGTGTTCCAGGTGTTTGCGTGAAGGCGTAGATGTTTGGCATCGTGGCTGCCCTCGACGCCCCGCCCTCTCTAACAGGAGCAGGAAGCCAGTGGCGTCTGGTCCAGCTGCAGGAGGCACCCAGCAGGAAGCTCTTGATGTCACCTCTAGTAAGCAGTTTCCAATCATCGTCGGACTAAAGCAAACAAGCAAAGATACAGAAGAAATTGACTTGTTAAAAAAAGAAAATTACTGAATTGGAAATTAAAATAAAAACATTAGAGACGAATTTGCCCGGTGATGGTGAAGTGAATCATGCTAGCGATAGTGATCAAGTACATCCTTCCAGCACCAGTAGTGATGCGAGTGGTAATCTTGCAGCTGTTGAGGCTACGCCACCTATCTCTACGGAACGTGAGTGTCAAATCTCCATGGGGAATGGTGTTAGTCATTGATCCCTCACTGACACCCCCACTAGATCATAATGAAACCCTTGAGGTGGTTACAGATAGAGAGTTTAGGAGAACACCAACTGCTACTCGAGTTAAACGCCTCCTAAACAAAAGTACTCAGGACACACGGAACAAAGTTGCTTATATTGTCCAAGTGTTTAACGAGCTTAAAAGTTACCTTAATTCCCTTGACACTTAACCATGGCTCATCAAACAAAAACAATTAAATTTCTTTCTTCGAACATTCTCAGTGTTTATCTTCGGATAAATGACGTAATCTTGTATGCTAAAATGAGAGACGTGGATGTGATGTGTTTACAGGAACCATATACGTCCACAACTATCAAGAAGGCCCCACCCAGGATACCTGGGTATATAGCATACAACAACAGTATTGGAACTGGTCTACTCACGTATATTAAGAGTGGATTAATCTGCAAACTAATTAGAAATCATAGGAGTGATAGTATACATTATCAAAAATCCAAATTACAAATAGCCATTTCCTACTGTATAACATATATGGACGATGTAGTGTACTTAAAGCAGACCTGCTACCGACACCTACAGGTAACACAGCTATGTTATGTATGGGTGACTTTAATGCTCGTCACACTGCTCTTGGTGATGTTCAGTGTAACAATAATGGAAGGGTCTTCTGGAAATACCTTAATGATCATAATATTACTGTGTATGATACTGATAAACAGACCCATTTATTGGGGGGTAGACTGGCTTATGTGATTGGATACAGCCTAGTAGATAGCAACGTCAACGTTAAACTCATCCCAGAACTAGTAAGTGATCATTTTGCAATATATTGTGACTACAATGTGGCGGATATTAGGTACAATCCTCATCCTAGAGTTAAAATTAACATTCCAGACAATCTTAAACAGCACTTTAAGGCTTATGTACATAAGTGGTACACTGGGTATACACCTGTATCAGTGGACCACTTTTACAATGATCTTGTCAGTATCATTACCAGTTATTATGATACCTTGAGGTTATCTTGAGATGATTTCGGGGCTTTTTTAGTGTCCCCGCGGCCCGGTCCTCAACCAGGCCTCCACCCCCAGGAAGCAGCCCGTGATAGCTGACTAACACCCAGGTACCTATTTTACTGCTAGGTAACAGGGGCATAGGGTGAAAGAAACTCTGCCCATTGTTTCTCGCCGGCGCCTGGGATCGAACCCAGGACCACAGGATCACAAGTCCCGCGTACTGTCCGCTCGGCCGACCGGCTCCCTGGGTTAAATCAAGGAAAAAAAAAGAATACTCGTTCTTCCTCATGGACAGAAGATCCTATTATTATTGCGGAGCTAAAGTGCTTCAGCTGCTGACTCTTATAACCCAGACAAAACTGCTGACAATTTACTTGCATTCCTCAGTGCCAACACATTTTCACGAGCTTAAGGGTCAAGTTAAGGACACATATTGGGAACAATTCCTACAAGGTATCAATAGAACTACAACATTATCAGAAATGTGGAACAAAATTAAAAACATTACCAAACCTTCAGCCCCAGTTCAGCTTCATCATACTCCTGCAGAATATGCTGACATGCTCCTGGCTCAATGGTCTAGTGTCTCACAAATTTCTTCCTTACCCCCAGATATACAGCAGCATTTAAGACATACCAACATTAACAGAAACTTTAATATTGAAATAGCACGCTCCTCACCAGATTTAACAGATCAGTTTGCTATAACCTTTTTTAAATTAACATCAGCATTAGGAAAACCTAAACAAACTGCCCCTGGTGAGGATGGTATAACTTATAACATCTTGAGCTTACTGAATGATGTCCCTAGCCACCCTCTGCTTAACCTCTATCAAATGAGTCTCTCACAAGGTATCTCGCCAAAGAAATGGACACAAAGTCTCATAATACCAATTCCTAAACCTAAACTCTCAAAAATTCAGACCCATTTCCCTTACATCTTGCATGTGTAAAGTCTTGGAGAGAATTGTTCTCAATCGTGTCATGTTTCAGGTCAAAGAAAAACTGGCCCCAAACCTATATGGGATCATGCCCAAGTGTAGCACACAAACATTGCTGAATATTTTGTACACTCCCAGGATGGGACACAGGCAGCCTTTATTGACCTAAAGTCAGCTTTCGATGTAGCGAATGGCGAAATAATATTAGAGCAACTTGCTGAATTTGGAATCAAAGGTAATCTTCTGAGTTGGATAAGGAGCTACCTATCCAACAGGCGTGCTAGTGTCCTATTTAAAGGAGTTAAAAGTACAAGAACAGATGCATTCGAACTAGGGACACCTCAAGGTGGTGTCCTAAGCCCTATGCTCTTCAATATACTTATGCACAAACTTATCCATGACATACCTGTACAACCTACGGAAACAGTTATATGTTATGCTGATGATATTTGTATTATGGCACACAGTAAACCAAGGCTACAAGTGTTACTTGATGCATTCTCCAAGAAAGTAGTAGAATGTGGCCTCATAATCTCTGTTGATAAAACAAGGGTTCTTATTCCCCATTCTCTTCATGCTAACTATACTATTAATGGAGTGCCCATGGAGACTTTGAGTCTTATAAATATCTTGGAGTCAAGGTTAATGATACAAATCTCGTCAGCAACCTGCGTAAAAAACTTGAGCGTCTTAAACCTCTCAGAACATTTTAAAGAATGAAGAACAATTTTTATTTTTATTATTTCTAAGCTGCATCACTTACGAACCCATCCCTGCCCTTGTGTGGCAGTGCACAATAGAAAGCTGTTTTCACATAGCCATACATTAAAACATTGATTGTAACCATGATATATATGTGCTTCAGCCTACAGTTTAGACCTATTGTCTTATGTATGACCCTCTGTCCTGCGTGACAGTGAATACCAGCATTATTCTCACTTTAATAAGACTTAATCGAAATCCTCAGATTATGCAAAATTGTAATTCATTTTGCCAATAAAGATGTTAATAATAACAACTGCAAGCAATAGCCTGGTGGACCAAACTCTCACAAGTCAAGCCTGGCCTCGGGCCGGGGCTTGGGGAGTAGAACAACTCCCAGAACCCCATCAAGCGGGTATCGAGCAGGAAATTGATTCCCAGAATCAGTTCAGTGTAATCAAAGTAACCCCCAACTCTTCGATTTTCCAGTGACGTGAGGTTAAATTCCTCATAGCTCTTGTCTCTTAGTTCTGGTACTAATCAGTTGGCATACGTTTCAAATTGCTCATACCAAGTTAAGTGTTTGAATAACTATAGGCACTTTGCTGGAGCACATGTTCCAGGATTGGTCTGACATGTGATATTGAAGATCCTGAGGGATGCCTTTGTGATTTCTAGTCAGTATTTAAATTGGGCAGCCTAGTGCTTGCCGCTGATGTAGAGTAGAGATACCTTCACCGTGAGTGACGGAGGAGTCCGGCGCTGGCCCCCTTATCCTAACTATCTTGAGGTTATCTTGAGATGATTTTAGGTTTTGACGTATCCGCGGCCCGGTCCTCGACCAGGCCTCCTTTTTGTTACAACCCCTCCCCCCCCCCCCCCAAGAAGCAGCCCGTAGCAGCTGTCCACTCTCAGGTACCAATTTACTGCTAGGTGACATGGCCATCTGAGTGAAAGAAACTCTGCACATTTGATTCTGCCTCCACCGGGGATCAAATCCAGAACCTCAAGACTAAAATTACGAAGCGCTGTCCACTCAGCTGTCAGGCCCCTGAGTGGCGCTTAGCCCAAGTGGCGGAGGAGTCGGGCATTGGCTCCCTTATCCACACACTTCCCGTGTGGATGCTTCTCTCCTCCGCTCCTTTATCTCTCACTCCTTCCCCTCTCCCTGCTGCTACCCCACAACCTCCCCTCTCACTGCTGGCGCCCCAACTTCCCCTCTCCCTGCTGCCCCCCCCAACCTCCCCTCTCACTGCTGGCGCCCTAGCCTCCCCTCTCCCTGCTGCCCCCCAATCTCCCCTCTCCCTGCTGGCTCCCCCAACCTCCCCTCTCCCTGCTGGCTCCCCCAACCTCCCCTCTCCCTGCTGGCCCCCCAACCTCCCCTCCCCTGCTTCCCCCCCCCAACCTTCCCTCTCCCTGCTGCCCCCCCAACCTCCCCCTCTCCCTGCTGGCTCCCCCCCCCCAGCCTCCCCCTCTCCCTGCTGGCTCCCCCCCCCAACCTCCCCTCTCCCTGCTGGCTCCCCCCCAACCTCCCCTCTCCCTGCTGGCTCCCCCCCAACCTCCCCTCTCCCTGCTGGCTCCCCTCAACCTCCCCTCTCCCTGCTGGCTCCCCTCAACCTCCCCTCTCCCTGCTGGCTCCCCTCAACCTCCCCCCTCCCAACCTCCCCTCTCCCTGCTGCCCCCCCAACCTCCCCTCTCCCTGCTGGCCCCTCCAACCTCCCCTCTCCCTGCTGGCCCCCTACCACCCCTCTCCCTGCTGGCCCCCCCAACCTCCCCTCTCCCTGCTGCTCCCCCAACCTCCCCTCTCCCTGCAGGCCCCTCCAACCTCCCCTCTCCTTGCTGGCCCCCAACCTCCCCTCTCCTTGCTGGCCCCCCAACTTCCCCTCTCCTTGCTGGCCCCCCAACTTCCCCTCTCCCTGCTGGCCCCCCCAACCTCCCCTCTCCCTGCTGGCCCACCCCCCAACCTCCCCTCTCCCTGCTGGCCCACCCCCCAACCTCCCCTCTCCCTGCTGGCCCCCCCCCAACCTCCCCTCTCCCTGCTGGCCCCCCCTCCAACCTCCCCTCTCCC